TCTTCACCTGGGATGTAGGAAACCTTGAAGTAGTTCTTAAACTGATGCCCACTTAGCTCTTCTTTTGTTGCCTATCTGATACTGGTAACAGCAGTTTCTGGGTCTGTGATGACTTTTTTCCACATTCTCTATTATCCCATACTAAACCAGAAAGTCCATCCAACACCTAGAACTATAGGTGAGGGCTGTTTCAAATCTGAATCTTCCTGCTCCTTAGCTTTTTAGAAAAAAAAAGTCAACTTAAACGATTTTTCCAAGCAATCCCACTTTACCGGAGAGGGTCTCATTGATGTGGATGGCCCAGTTCTGGTTGGAGTAGTTCACAACAAAGGCATAAGCCAAACTTGAGCAGGACCTGTCCCACCAAGAGCAGATTCCTGTCCCCAAAAAGCTGCCAGAGGTCACTGGCAATAACAGCGGGACTCAGGTTCACAATCTAAAGCTTGTTCATCATCCATGCCTTCCATACTTGCCCCAAGAGCTTGCAGCTGCCCCTCCCCAGAGGTACCCAGTGCTCCTCACCACAGCAGCCCCACCTCATCCCACCCCGGCCTCCCTCACACTCCTGAATGTGATTCTTGTAAAGATTTTTTTTTTTTTTTTTGGCTGTTGTTCAACATGAACCCTAACTAGTATTTACAGGGGTAAAAAAAAAGCATTCTGTACCAACACTAAAGCTAAGCTGATAGTACCCTTGCTGTTTTGCCTTCCTAAAATATTCTGAAGCATACTTATTTTGGATTGGGTGGATAGGGGGCTAAGGATTGAAATCTAGGGCTTGGCACACACTAAACATAAGCTCTGCAAGTGAACTACAACCCCAGTCCCAAGCATAATTTTTCACTATATGGTTTCTACTTTACTCACTGACTTTTAAAATGTGATTTCTTTATAAAACACAACTCCTCTCTATGAAATAGAAGCAGGTGTGGTGTTATGTACCAGTTGCCCTCACTCAGGAAGCTGAGCCAGGAGGATTGCCATGAGTTAAAGATCAGCTTGGCCTACAGTGAGTTCAAGGTCAGGCTGGAATACACAAATTCAAGGGCCTGTCTCTAAAAAACAAAAACATCCACGGGTGCTTGTAATCCCAGCACTCCAGAGGCTAGGATAAGAGGATCACTGGGTTATATGTATGAGGCCAGTATGGGTTTACAAAGTGAATTAAGGCAAGTCTGAACTGTACAGTGAAACCCTCTATCAGAGAGAGACAGACAAACACTGACTCCCATTACAGCCCATAAAGAGTAACGTTTGTTGAAAACATGACAAAAATTCTTAAGTTTTTTAAATTTGGCTTGTTTGTACTTAATAGTATGTCTTCATTACATAATATAATCTGAGGTCTATTTTTAAAATAATTTTTTACTAATGTACTTAACAGAGATACATATTTTCAAAATTAGAACAAATGGCAGACACGTAAAGAAGCAAAATATGCTAAATTATTCTCAAAATGAAATGAAAGAGCTAGGTTTGGTCGCAAAAGCAACATCTGTAATTCTAACACTCTGGGAAGCCAAGACAGAGAATCCAATTCAAGCCCAATCTAAAGAATAAAAAAAATTTTTTAAAGACTAGGGCCAGGCATGGTGGTATATGCCTGCAATCCCAGCACTCAGGAAGCTGAGACAGGAGGATCTCTGGGATTTTCAGGCCACCCTGAACTTCATAGTGGATTTAAGGATATCCTGAACTACACAGCAAGACCCTGTCTCAAAAAAAAAAAAAAAAAAATGCATTGTAGATGTAGTTCAGTGTGAAGACCCTGGGTTCAATCCCCTGTACTAGGGAGGGGAAGAGAGGGGGAAAAGCAAATTTTAAGCAACAGGGATCTTTCACAATATTTTTAATAACACAGCTGCTGTGCATCTAAACAAGTCACACCAGTGGTAATCCACTTTAATTGCTAAACACTCATAAGGCAAAAGCGAATCATGAACCAGTCCAGATCTGATGGGAGTTCCTCTACACAGCCTAAAAATGAATAAATAGGACTGTCTACCCTCATAGTTCCTACATAGAGACATATCATCTAGCTCTTCCCTACATTTGAGTAATTCCTACCCAAATGTCCAATGTCCCATTCAGTCAGATTACCTATGTAGGTAGTAAACACCAACCTGTAGCACCTATAATAAGAAATACCCAATAACCCAGTAGACACATTAGGGAGAAAGTGTAACAACGAGAAGGGGAAGAAAAAGGATGCTTAGGTCTTCGGGAAATGGACTGGGTATTACTGTACTTTTGTACGTCAAAATATACCTACTTTGTTAATAAAAATTAAGTCAATATAAATTACCATGATAGCTAAGATTATAGAGAATGAAATCAAGAAATAAACAATGGTATCTGACAACAATATCTACCATAAGATATGTAATAATCGGGGCTGGGGATCTAGCTCAGCGGCATAAGCACCTGCCTTGCAAGCAGGCGGTTGTGAGTTCAATCCCGACTACCAATAAAAAAAGAAAAAGACTAAAAAAAAAAAGATATGTAATAATCAACATTAAGATCAATTCTATAGCCCAGCATGGTTGCACAAGCTTGTAATCCCAGCACTTTGGGAAGCTGAGACACAAGGATCACATATTTCAGGCTAGTTCTGGCAGTGTAGCAATCTCTTTCCCAAAGGTGAGGAAGGGTGAGTAGCTCAGTGTGAAGGCCTTGGATTCAATCTCCAGAACCACCTCCTCACACACAGAATAAGGTTTAGATTTGTACGTGTACAGAGTATATATAATCTCACAAATATTTGTTCTTTTTTAAAAACTGCAAACTGCAGTAGGCATGGTGGTGTACACCTTAACCCCAGCACTAGGGAGGCTGGGGCTGAATTTGAGGTTGAGGCAGGAGGATGGGCTACACAGAGGGTTCCAACTTGGACTCTATACTACCATCCTTTCTCAAAAAAAGAAAACAATAAAAATCACTCTGATGACATATTAGTTTCTTCAGAATTCAATTAAAAAAAACTATTAAGTGCTGTCACACTAGAAACACTGTCATACTTTTAATACAGTGCTTTTTAATGTTAACTCATTTCTTTTCCTGGAAGGAATTGTTTCTTTGCTAACAGACAGAAATTAAACTGTTACTGAAATATCTAGTATATATTATTCATTAAGCATATATCAGCTTTATTCCCAAGACTGCATAATGTAAACACAAATCATAAGCAAGTCAGATTAAAGAGATAGACGACACCACAAACTGAAGGTCAGTAATAGACAAAACAAAATTCCAAACATATTTGCTGACCAGCTCTACACTGCGTCCACTCAAATCCAAAAGCTAGGTGTCTGCCTGCCCCACACGCCAGATAACTCAAAATTCCCAGTATTTTAATGTCTACATTGTCTACATTATGTTAATAATTCTAATTTGAAATTTCTCTCTGCAACACACTTGAGAACAAGTAGCTTATTTTTCAAATACTCGAACTAGCCTAAGACAATTTTCCTTCATAAATTCTCCATCTTACATAATTAATCTCAAACGTAAATTCTGTAAGGGTACCTGAAGCAAGTAAGCAAAATCTTTAGAAAAAACCGAAGGACCACGTTTTCTGTGCCACTCCCTGGAAAAAGGAGTGTTTTATAACTATCCATTATTTTATTAAAAAGTGGATCAAATACACAATCAAGATTTTAGCATACCTGTTGATTGTGACAAGTAGAAATCTCAAAGGAAAAATATCCAAAAGTCACATCACTAATATTTAAATTCTTTATAAATCAAAGGATCAAACTGTAAATCTAGAGCTAACTGCAATCTAAATTATTAAAACATTCAACACCTAATTCAAAGCGTATCATCAACCAATTATGTTAAATATTCTGGCTGATCATTTTTAAAAAGCCAAAAAATAAATTGTATAGCATAACACTCGTTTTAAATAAAATGCTAAGTTTCAAACACTAAAATTATGTCTTAATTTTCAAAAGAAAAAAACAGCATTATTACCAAGACACTGAACGTGCATGTATCTACCCTTTTCAAGGCAAATAATATTTCTTTACACATCTCAAAGAAACCTGATATTTCCAAACAATTTCACAGCGTAAAGGAACGTATTCTCTGAAACTTTTATAAGCACGGCATAAGATACCCAAAGGGCCGTCAAGGAAATGAATCTGAAATTAGTCACTAATGGGCAAATAATCGGAATAAACCTTCAAAGTTTGAAAGACCGATTTTACTAACAGCATCTCTGAGAGTAGGAAGACGACTTCGGTAGCAGGAAAATGATCCTGACAAGCAGGAATAGGGCTCCCCGATGACACTGCGTACCACAGATCTCAGTATATAAACCGAAGGCTTCAAAAAGCAAATCTTCCAGCAGAACCACACTGAGACACCCCCTCCCCCATGGATCCTCCGGGATAAGCTCCAGGCTCCGGAAAGCAGCAACAGATACTCCTGAGCAGAGGGCGGCACTCACAAGAACGTGTGAACTAGGCGGGATGTCCCCGCAGCCCGCCAGGAACCGCGCTTCCGAGCAGCTCCTCCACGCGCGACTCCGACTCCAGCCCGCGGGGGAGGAGGGACGCGAGCGCCTAGTGCCACTACCCCACCCCCACAGCGCGGACACATCCCGGGCTGCAGGGAAAGCGGAGGGGGGCGCATTCCACTCCGTCCGCCTCGCCCGCCGATGGGGGGGGGGGGCAGAGAGGAGGCCTGGCCCCAGCTCGGGAGAGGGAGAAAAGGGAGGGCAGCGGAGGAAGGGATCAGACGCCTCGCCGACCGCGTCCTCCGCCACGGGCTCGTCCCCTCCCGAGGACCCTCGAAGAATCGGGAACAATGAGGCCGCCTGCCCGCCATCCCCGCCCGAGTGCGGTAGGGGGCCGCGGCGCCATCTCCCCTCACACCCCCACCGACACACACACCCCCGAGCGCCGGACCCGTCAGGTGCCGGACCCGACCGGGCGGACGCGCGTCCCGACCCCGACCGCCGTTCCAGCGTCCTTCTCCGCCCCTCCTGCCTCACTCACCGGCTCCTGCTCCAGCCCGGGGCTCCGCTGGCCGCGGCCGGAGCGAGACTCTGGGATCAGCTGCCGCGGCCCCCGGCGCCGCCGCACAATATGGCGAGTCTCGGCTTCCGCAATGGAGCTCGGGAAATACAACAGGGGCCGCTCAATATTCATGAGAGACTGAGGGGAAGCCGGCTCGCCCGGCGCTGCGGGGAGGGCGGGAAGGAGCGAGCGAGGAGGCGGGGGCGCGGGACGGGGACGTGCACGACGCGGGGAGGCCCGCGGCGCGAGGGGAGGGGGCGCCGCCGCGTGCTGGCCTGGAGAGCCCGCGCCGCCCCGCCCCGTCCGCGCCGCCCCGCCCCGCCCCGCGCGCCCCGCCCCGCCCCGCCCCGCGGCCCGAAGTCCCAGGGCAGGCGCAGCCCGCGGTAACGCCCGCCCGCCCCGAGGACTGTGGCGCCACCGGCCGTCGGCGTTTTATCTCCCGGTTACCTTCCGCCCCTGCCCGCGCCCGGTGCTGGAGGGTTGTCTGCCGAGACTTCGTCCTCTAACGCCCATCCCAGCCCGCAGCGTCCACCTTAGGCTGCCCCCGCAGAACTTCACCTGAACTTGAGCGCTGTTTGGTGGCCGGGTCTAACCCACACGCACGCGCTTCGCCCACGCTGAGTAAACCTGCGAGACCTGATTATTCCAAAGAAAGCAACTTTCAATGCCACAAGTGTATTTTTGGACCTCTAAGGTCGTGATTATTCTCGTCAGCTCTCGCTGTTTATCTTGCCGTTTTAATTTTTACTTCATTGGCCCCTTTTGTGTTTTGTGAAAGGGTCTTGCCTGTGTAGCTCAGGTTGGCCTTGAACTCACTATGTAGCCCTGGCTAGTTTTGGAACTCAAAGTAATCCTCTTGCCTCAGAGTATTGAGTGCTGGGATTACAGGCGTTTACCACCACACCCAGCCACAGCTATACTGTCTTTTGAATTTAAGAGTTTAAGCCTCCAATAACTGTGACTTCAGTGCATTACATAATTCCTCTGGATTTTTTCGTTTCCAAAATGAGACGATTTTCATTGAATGATTCTAAGGGTCCTTTCTAGCTCTTCATCTCTAAAAGTCTCTAAGCAATTACAAATAAACGATAGAAATTTGGGAAACAAAAATATCAGCTGTAGCTAATATGCTCAGGAAAGCCTTCCTGAGGAGCTAGGATTGAGTTGGTTTTTGACAATGCCTTGGATGGGTGGAAAGAGGACAGATATTAAAATATTGAAGACAGCATATTGTGTATGCTACCTAACATCCATCAAAGTGAACAAAAGTGAATATTCTTTGTCAGTGACTTGAAAATTTTTGTCTACTCTCTATAGCTCTAAATAAAAAAGGACAATTCTGACAAGTTCTTCCAGGTTAGGCCTTTCCTCTACCATACAGAAAAAAATCAAAATAATTCTGAATGTTCTGCTTCTCCCTTACAAGTCCATTTTGTAGAGATAGTGCGGTTGCCGAAGTAGCTACCTACTGTTCGTGGTGACTGTGTGTAGTTCAATTAAAGGAGGGCTGGATTCTCATAATTTAGAATCTTCTGCTCCACTTAAAATGCTTTTGAAAATTTTGATGCAGGTTAAGCGATTCAATTCAGTTTAGGAAGGTGATCATATGTAGAAAGCACAGTAACTTCACAGATAAAAGTTAAATATACTTTAAAAATTACTTTAAAAAGATTCACAGAAGAGTTAGTGGAAATATAGAAAACTGGGATATCTGGATTAAATGTGATTAAAAAGCTGGACTCAAGTTAACATCTTTAATATGAAAGACACCTCTGAAAAATTAATGGAACTTCTTTTATATATTTTCCCTCTCATTAAAAACTTGGCACCAAAAGCACCATGGACCTTCGCTCACTATATGGATCAGGAAAGTTTATGTTATGGTATACTGTAATAAACATCTCCAAAACCCGCATGTTTTAACACAACAAAAGTATACTGCCTGCTCATGCTTCTTGCTTTGTCAGTTCCACTGTCTCCAGAAAGTAGACTGACAGAAGTTTCATCAGCTTGTAGCTGCATTACTTAGAACATCTAGGTTGCCTCTATGACAGAGTAGATCCCATGAACTTTTCACAGCCTTAACTTGAAAGGGAACTAGATTATTGATTACATTTCATTGCCTAAAACCACGTACTTAGCTCTTGTTATCAATCTGTGCTTACTAAAGAAACATTTAATACGAAATATACAAATATATAAGAAAAATTTATAAAATTAGCTCACACTGGCTATCTACAGAGTCAAATTGTGGAAGAGTACACAATTCCGTGCTGGAGATCCAGAAGGCCCAGGTGAAAGCCTGGAGCTCACTGTAGTGTCCTGTGTGAGTCCCTATCAGAAGGCTGAAGTATCTACAATAGAGGGCTGAAAAGTCTATGCAGGAGATGATGACCAAGGTAGAGGCAAGGACTAGAGCTCCACTGAAGAAACAAAAGCAATCTTGCTTTCTTCATTTCCCTTTTATATCATTTTGACAACAATCCTCCCTAGGGTGGGTCTTGCATACCCAGAGCTATGCAGAGCCTATTTAGTTGGGTGTTTCTTAAACTGATACAAGTCAGTATCACAGCCCCAAGTATATGCAAGAGTATTGAATCCTTAAACTCAGTTCAGGAGGAGAACTGGGACTACTGGTGAATGACACTAATGTCAACCATCCTGTCAGCTGGTTCCTAGATGCTATGAAAAATAGTCCAGGGGCTGGGGATTTAGCTCAGTGGCATAAGCGCCTGCCTTGCAAGCAGGCAGTAGTGAGTTCGATCCCTGGTACCGATAAAAACGAAAAAGACCAAAAAAAAAAAAGGAAAAGAAAAATAGTCCAGAAAGTGTTATTCTATAAAATTCTAATCTTGAGTGACTTCAAGAAAATTATGCTTTCAAAAATAAATTTTGTGTGCTTGTTGGGTTGACTGCATATAAAGTAGACTTGCCAAATTCTTCCCCTTTGTTTTAACTCTACAGTATACACAGTCTCTATTTATATGCGTTATGGTTTGTGTCTGGATACAAAAACAGTCATTACAATAGAATATTACTCAGAAAAAAAAAAACAGTCATGAAGGGGACTGAGTGTTTTGGAGGCAGCTGAATCTAGAGTGTAGGATCACAGTGCGATGCTGGGATTAAGGTACTAGGATTAAGGCTGGGGAACTGCTGGGCCAGTACACTTATCGGATTGGCACTACCCTAATCTCAGCAGTCTGGATAAGGTAAGAGGGGCAAAAAGAGATTAGTTTCCCACTTTTGCTCTTACTGCGTTTGCCGTCTTCTACTGCCATGAACTGTTGCCCCTCTGTCATCTGGCACCCTGCCTTAAACTGAGAACCCTACAAACTGAATTATAATAAACCTTTCCCCTTTTAACTTTGCATGTTGGGTATTTTTGTCTTTGCAACAAGAAAAGTAACTAAGACAATGGGTGACTTACAATTTTTCAACTTTATGATAGTATCATTCTATTTTCCACTTTCAGTTAATGTCCAATAAATTATATGAGATATGCAATGCTTTATTATAAAAATAGGCTTTGTATTAGATAATGTCCAACTGTAGGCTAATGTAAAAGCTCTGAAGATGTTAAAGGGGGCCAGATTAATCTACGATATTTAGTAGGTTAAGTATATTAAATGCATTTTCAACATGTATTTTCAATTACTATGCATTCATCAGTATGTAATGATCATAAGTGTATATTAATGTAAACTACACAGTTAATATATTAATAATGATTTGATATAAATTACATACTTTTGGGTCATGTTTTGATGACACAAAGAATATCATCCTGAAAAACATTTCTAGGGGCTGGGGATTTAGCTCAGTGGCATAAGCACCTGCCTTGCAGGCAGGCGGTCGTGAGTTCGATCCCTGGTACCGATAAAAATGAAAAAGACAAAAAAAAAAAAAAGAAAAAACAACATTTCTAGTAACACTCTGCTTGCATGTTAAATATACTAATTGAAAGTGATACTCATATTTTAAGCAGAACATTAAATAAACTACATAATATAAACATTATACTATAGGTGGATGACTACGTAAACTCTGGGGAAAAAAGAGATTCTATTTCCCTCAAGACTCTGTAAGTAATGCCAGATTACCCCACAAGGAACTGAATAGGCACCTGTAAATAATTACAAAATTTTCTTCTTTACTGACTTTCAACTGTGTTCATGCTACAAATTTAGAGATGTTACTTCACCTTAGCCAAATTGTATCGAGTATCTGTATGTGTCAGGAAATTTATTAAGTGCTTTGAGTAAAAATATCAGTATAACTAGGATATCAGAAATGTTGCTGACCAGAATATACCTAGAATCCAGCATAATACTTGACGTAGTAGATGCTCAACAAATATGTTTTAAGAGAATGAAAGACTGCAATTTGATCCCAGTGTGTATGTGAAATAGAATAGCACACATCAGCTTGAATTGCCTCACATTTATTGCTTACCAACAGACATTTCTATCATGACTATATTTAGTCCTTTCAGAGACTTTCTCTGTTTAGGCAATATGTCTTACATGGAATGTCATACTGACTATTCTATACCTACTACACGGATTTCTTTTCAGCCGTGCTCCAAGTGTGTATTGTTATCTGCTCCTGTGAGATGAAGATTATGTCATTAGCAGTCTGTTAATATTAAGCTATATATGTATCACAGTTTGAAGAGCATATTTATTTCATTAAATCTTCAGAATAAATCTCCAATGAATGAGCCCTTCTTTACAAATGAAAAAAATTTGATTTCTGCGACTTGATAGGTCTTCTAAACATCGAGCAGGACATAGCAGAGCTAAGGCTCAAACTTTGCACACTTGACTCCAAGGGTAGGTACTTTTCATGATGACACACCTGCCTCATCATCTCATGCTGCACGTATTATGTAAGTATATTCCTTCTTCCCAGGTTGTGGGTTGTCTGTGAGACAAACATCTCCAGAGCTTCTTGTAAATATTCTTATTTATTCAGATCCTCCATGTAGTTTAAGATGCCAAAGATGGAGGGCTGGGGATTTAGCTCAGCGGTATAAGCACCTGCCTTGCAAGCAGGCAGTTGTGAGTTCAATCCCCGGTACCGATAAAAAAAAAAAGGTGCTAGAGATGATGTGAAATATAACAGTCTATGCATTTGATCCACATGCAGGAAACAG